TATATTATTAAAAATATTTTCTCATTTAATCTAAATGTTGAAAATGGAACAAATATTAATTTTAATAATTTAATTAATTTAAAATTTAGTAAATTTTCTAATTTTTAATCAATATATAATCCTTTATCCAGTTTATATTTATTTCTTATTTTTATTTGTTTTTTAAATATTAAAATGATTGATAAGATGTTGATGAATTTAAAACAATTTAGGTTCTACTATTTAAAATAAAAAAAATCTCTCTTTATCCTTAGTAGTTAACGTCTATGTTTATAATGTTAACTAAAAGTCCATATTTAATTCAGAATTTATAAAGTTCTTCGGAAATTTGATTAAATGAATAAATTAGATTGTAATTTAGAATTTTTTTACCAAAGGTTTTTAGGATAATAATGCAGAGTTTATAAGATAAAAGTATTTGGATGGTAATGTTAATCCATTAAGCCTGACCAACTTCAAAATCTAGGTAATGTCAAGATAGGAGAGACCTAAATTTTTATTATGGTGCCATAGTGAATAATTCTTAAATCCTGATATAAATTCAAACTTGATTAAAATATTTATGACTTTAAAATTTATTGTAACATTCTTTTATTTAATTTTGATTCTGTTATAACATATCTCAATCCAAATTGCTTTATATTTCTCATTTTTTAAGATGTTAGGTATTTTTCTTTTTGTTAATTTCATCAATCCTATATCTTTAAAGTATTTTCATCCTTCAATTACATGATAATCATTAGGTATAATACTGTTCTTATTTTTTTCATTATTATTTTTACAATAATTAATAGAGTTGATAGTTCAATTTTAACTTTGATGAAATTTCCCATCATATTTAAAATTTATCAGTTTGATAACTTGCTTAAAGAATTTATTTCGAAGTAAATCTTCACAATTATAATCGAGCTTATTAAAACCAATTCTCTTCATATCAGGTTGAACTAATAATAAATAAATTCCTTTTAAAATACTCCTTTTGGTGATTATTTGCTATTGAAACTGACTTTTTAGGCTTTATTCATTACACGATAGCCAAAAAATAGAAATTAAAACGCACTTTCTATATAAAAATATTTTTCGTATTTGAAGTGAAGGAAATTAAATAAAAGATTTTTTCCAGACATATATTTTTTATTTAATGGATCTTCCTTATTGAATTAGTTGTGTTATTAATATTTTTTCATTTTTAGTTCAATGAATATCTATCCATAAATAAAGTTAGCCATATATTAATCCTAAAATTCTAGAGACTGTTTAACTCTAGTGAAAAGATGAGATTTCGAATGTCAGCTATTTATTTAATATATTTGTAATAAAAATCAAATTGTTAAACCAAATACCCTTAGATATCTCATTTCCTTATAAATTTTTAATGAGCACATCTATTAATTATAAAATTATTTTTAAAAATTTCTTCTAAAATTCAAATGCAAACTGTCTCAGAATAAACTTTAAGAAAAGATTACAAAATTAAAGTAGATGAAATCATATAGAATTTTGAATAAGCATTAGATGTAAAATAGATAATTAATTAATATAAATAGTCTTCATTCAATAGAATTGATGCATAACTTGATGAAATTCTTAATGATAAGTTTTATTTGATTTAGATATAGCCATCATAATTATCATCAGATTTACCAAAAGTCAATTCTAATAGTTTACTTAAATTAAAAAATGATGATTTTCAAAAGTAAATCAATTAAGAAGTGACTTCTTTAATCAAAAGTAATATTCAACAGGTACTTTAAAAGAAGGAATAATAATATCAATATTTATATAAAGAAGCTCAAACTAAATGGGAACAAAAAATCTAAGAAAAGGATTATCAGATTTAATAACTTAATAATTCATAAACTATTTAACAACCATCAACATTTATATCTAATCAATCAAATTTTAAACCATTCACTTATTAATTCATCTAACAAAACTCAATTAAATAAGATTAATATTGTTATGCAATAGCTGTTAATAAAGATTGTTCAATAGTGGTTGCTGGAGGTGAGAAGTAAATTAAAGTGTTTGAATTTTAATAAGAAATTTTGAAATAAGTTTAACTTTTAAGTGAACATGGGTCGAGTGTTGTTACTTTGAATTTCATGAAGAGATCGGATCAGTTTATATCTGGGAGTGATGATAAATAGATTATTATTTGGACAAGATATCAACATAATTCATGGATTTGTTCATAGAAATTAAATGGACATACGGATTAAATCAGATGTTTAATAATAAATAATAATGAAGATCTTATAGTATCTGGTAGTAAAGATAAGACAATTAAATTCTGGTAAAAGTAGAATGAATGGTTGTGTTCATAGACAATTACAGATCATACTAATTATGTATGGGGATTATGTTAGAATGAATAATAAAATAGAGTGATATCTTGTGGGGATGATAAACTTATATTGATAATGGAATAATAGAATAAATAATGGATTGTAATTTAAAAGATTACAGTAGAAATTGAAGGATTAAGATTATGCTTTATAGATAATAATACATTCACATTCTAACCTTGGTAGAAAGAGTACATGCATGTATTTGAGATTAATAGCACTAATAAATAGTATACTAAGACAAAGGATATTCCTGTTAAATGTGGTTCAGATTGAAATTTGTTTCCTCAATAATATATAAAATAAAAATTGTATCCTTGTGAATAAGAATGCTTCAAATGTGAGTTTAATGAGGAAGAAATAAAATGGTGAGTTTATAATTGAGTAATCTATTGACTTTGGAACTCAATATATTTTTGGATATATGACTGATGATGGACAGTATTTGATTACTTGGGATGATAAATCAAAAGAATATTAGATAAGGAAATATTAGGAGTAATGAGTTATTAAAAAGTATAAAAATTATAGATAAATAATTTTTTTTTAAGTTCTTTAAAGAAATTATCACTATATTTTTTTTTTTTTGTGTTAAATTATAAATTTAATTAATATTATTTGAATCAGTTATTATTGAAAAGTGTTAACAATTTAATTATAATATTATGCATAGCTAAAACTAAATTTTACCAGTTGCACATATTATTAACAAAAATCTTGCATATAAGATATTTTAAGATTCAGAGAATTAATAATTCATAGGCTTTACCAAAAATAAAATTTACATTAATAGTACAATGCCTATCAATAATCTTGAGCACGATCATTAATAAAAAATAAATTAATTTTTTTAGGTTGATTTAGGAAGTGATCACAAAAATAATATAAGGGTATAGTTATGATAATAAACAAAATTTATTTTATATTTTTTAATTTAATTTTCATTTTAAGAAACTTAAAAAATTGATTACCAAGAAAATCTGATAGAGATACAAACTAAATTGATGTATATTAAAAAAAAAATGCTACTGATTGATTTCTTGGTATTGACATATTTGGATATTCCTAAATTATATTATGAACATATTCTCTCTAATATTTTTAAACAATAAAAAAAGCGAAGAAGTGAACCTTAATTGAAATAATTCTATCTGTGCAATTAAAAGACCAGATAGGCTTTTAATTTTGGTTTCATATGTCATCAGCTATATTTCTTGAGCATCTTTTTTGATTTAGTCTCTCCTTAGATTATAGTTCTTACAAATATGTATATAAAGGAATCCAAAATATGGGAAAGATGGGGTCGAGTTAATCAGGAGGATTTGTCTTAACATGCGCAAAAAGGTAATAGATTGTACTATATTAATATGTATTGATGACAAATAAATATGTTTATTCTATAATGATATTATCTGGATGACAGAAATTATATATAATGTTAGTTAATTTTTATAAACAGTTCCTGATAACCCATAATAGATTATTTATCACTTGATTTTTTGATGATTTGATATTCCCTAAACTAACTAATTATTAGAAATTACGTGTGGCATCTGGAAATAAGATTTTCAAATATAGCCATTAAATGTGAGAGAATAGTGATACATATAAGTGGAAAAAATTATTCTTTTACAGAAGGATTTTAGCTTGAATTAATTCTTATATGGATAATTTATGGATTAGGTTAGTCATTCAATTAAGAAGGTTTCTAAATATTTAAAGGTTAGGTGAGGTTTTAATTAAATACCATGCTTTATTAGTGGGCTATGAATTATGCTTTATGAAGGATTTGAATGATAGAAATTTGTTTGCAGTATAGTTTTTGGAATACATCTTAGTTTCTTGAATATATTTCGATTTTGCTAAGGGATTGCTGGGTTAGTAAATAATAAGTCAGAGTATAAATAATATTATAATTCTTATTACTCTTGAAACTTAAGTGTACATTCCGTATTAGAATTTAAGGTTGCATTTGAAAGGTATCTCAGCTTGACTTCACGGAAGATTAAAAAGAATATAAGTAAAATAGACTTTTGATCAGTGATTGTTAAAGGCTAAAAAAGTGAAAAAAGATATTCAGTACTGGCCTTTGGTAAAAAATTGAATTTATTATTTATCATTCACGATAACTATCCTATCAATTTTCTTTTTCCTAAATTGAACCAATTTAAATTATTTTCTCAAAATTCTAACATTTCTTTCTGTAATAAGAGAACATCATCAATTTCCCTTACAAATTGTTCATTTGTAAAATAGTCTCAAAACTCGCAGCATTTCAGCACAACATGGTCTTCAAATATCACATCTAAAGGAGTAAATTACCTGATCTCCCAGTTCGGTTTTTCAATAGTATAAAATAATATTTCCCTTCTTATTCCAATTTTATGACAAAGGAAGAGATAATGGGATTAAACCATTTCTTAACTCATTAGAAATTTTTGCTCAAAGATTTTGAGTCTACTATTTTTTGTAAAAAGTATTTAGGATAAAGGTAAAAATTTTGATATTATGATCTATTGGTCTAGTTCACATAAATACCCTTATTAATCAATCCATAAATCATTCTATTAGTCAATTTAGCATTTTAATATTATTATCTCTTAAGCTCCTATGAATCGGTTTCCTTAAGTCGGTGTAGTCCGACTTTCTATTTTCTCTCGAACTATTCCTTCGTAGTCTCCTCTATTATATATTTAATGATACATTCTTCATTTTTTCCTAAACATATTAATTACTTAATCTTATAATTGAGCGCAATTTATTTCTTTAATTCACCCTCATCCATGTCACATCAGATTATTAGAGTACCAGCAAAAGCCTAAATTGCAATAAAATTTTCAACAGGCCTGCCGAAAAAAAAAAATCTTCATTTTCATAAGTTCATTTCTATTATTTTGTAGATCATGTTCTTGTTACTAAATTTTACTTTTTTCTTATTCAACTTCTAGGTATTTAGAACCTTTCACAATTATATAGGTTTAGTGTTCTCCAAGATGGCCTCCTAAATTGTCTTAGAAGAACCTTTCAAGTATTTTATATCCATAAAACTATTTAATTAGCTCGAATTAGATCACTGGTTAGTTACTAAGGCTAATCCCATAAGATTAACTTAATAAGTATGTCAATATACTCCTTCTAAAATTTCACTAGTATTATGTTTTCTTTTTTTAATTAATTGAATCAAGTTGTAGAAGATCTATAGATATAGCTTATAAATTAATGTTAAGTTTTGTATCAAAAACTATTTGATTGAGGCTAATAGTAAATGAATGATCAATATTACATCTTGATGCTAATCTATTCAAAGACTGATAAGTTTTTTACTTAAAGGACTTTTCTGTTTTGGATTAAGAATAAGAATACAATAGATTGGTACAACTTAGAAATTAAATTCTTTTAGGTGATAATATTTATATTCTCAAAACATAAGATTTTTTGAATAAAAGATATACGCAAAATTTTAATCGTAATAAATAAAACAAAAGTAAAATTTAACTGTGTATAAAGGACTTGGCAATAAATTTGTATTTTTGAGTCAGTTAAATACTATTAAATTAAATATCTTCTCAAAAAGTAAGGCAATTTTAAGTATTGAAGAAATCGTTCAAAAATGAAAATTTAACAGAATTAACAAAATTAAAATTAAAAAATGTTATTATGAAATTTTTTCTATAGCTTTAATTTTTGTTTTATATATTTATTTAAATTTAGAATATGATATTATTTATAGATAATAAGCAATGCTTTAAATAAATGTTACTAGGAAATATTTTATTTTAATTAATCTTCCTAAAAATATTAATTAAGATTCATTCTCTAAATCTAATAATGTCTATCAATCACATTTTTAACCTTCTCTCTCTTATTCTATTCGTACAAATTTTCAACATCTATATCTAACACATTGGTACATAATCTATGATCTATTTCTTATTTCGCTTAACTCTAAATTTAATAATATCACACATAAATTATTAAGACCTTTA